TTTTCATAAGTGAGATGAGATTAAAGCAGACAGTAAAATCAAACATGTAAGTATTCGATTCATAAAAATACCTATTGGATTCTGTCAATTATTAATCTGGGTTTTGTTAAAAATTGAAATTCTTGATAACCATGCACATACATTACACGAAAATTGAAAAAATGTTAGGTTAGAAACACCAAAATCTGCAGGTTAAAATTCAAATTTCTCTGTTATTTATGCGTAACCCGCAATTTTTTTTTTGTTATTTCATATATACAGTTAGTACTATTTTTTAGTTAAAAATTTTTTTCGAAATTCGTGTGTCCGTTATGTTTACAGGCACCTTGCCATTTTCTATTAGCTCACAACTCTCTCCATTGGAAACAAACATACTATTCGTCAATTTGTCTTGTGCTGCCAGAACTGAAAACAAATTTCTTTGAATACAAGGTACATACCATACATCACTTAACCTAATATATTTCAGTTGACCATCTACTTTAGCTTTTAAATCAATGGTCCCTTTTTCTACAGCTTGAATGCTTTGTCCATTAGCTGTAGTGACCGTAGTATTCGAATGACTGAAATAGATCACCTCTGTTCGTAACATGGCTTGTTGCGCCATTGTCTACGTACCAGTTCTCATCCAGTACACTTCGCTCAGAATAAGAATTCAACTGCAACACGGTAAGATTCATATTGACTACATTTGACTGTTTCGGTGGTCTTCCGTCTGAAATCCATTTTCCACAATTCTTAACTCGATGACCAACTTCTCCACAATAATTGCATTTGAACTCTGTGATCTTCTTTTCCTTTTTCATAATACTTTTTCTATTCTTTGACGATTTTATTACTAAAGCTTCCATACTATTTTCTACACTTTTGCATGATAGAGCTCTTTCATATGTGCAAAGTTGACTCGTTAGATTCTCTATAGTACGATCCTGCTTTGATATCAGCATCCAACTAGATTTAAAGGCGAAATATTCTTCGGGTATAGTATCCAAAACTTTACATATGAGTAATATGTCAGGTAAATCCGTTTTTCCAACTTTTTCTAGCTCAGTCTTTAAATCAAACCAAATATTTTTCAACTTCGATATATGAGTAGCGATATCATCAGCTGTTTCTTTCTTGTAACCAAAGAATTTCATGCATAAGTCATAACTGCGGTCTTCTGATACTCCATCAAATAGCCTATGCAGCTCATCCCATACTTCTTTGTCGGTAGAAAATCTCATAACTTTTTGTAATGTTTCATCGGACATGTTTGTAGTGAGTATAAGTAAGGCTGTACTGTCTATTTTCTGATTTTCTTGCAACTCTGCCTCATATTTGCTAACATTTTTTACTGAAGCTTCTCCTTCTGGCTGAGAAGGCTTCTTAAGTTTACCTAGTACTGCATCGTAAGTACCTGAATTACCTCGTAATAGCAAAGTAACTTTATACCTCCAGGTAACCCACTTAGCTTTACCTTCTAGTTGACCTATATGGAGTTTTACACCGGATGTCTGCATACTCATTATTCAACTTCTCTCGGTACTAATTAACTTAACCATTAACGCTTTGCTACCATGTTAAAGTAATAGACAAAATACGTAGATCAACTTTTAATAATGACAAAATATAAAAATCTAGTGACAGTGACAATATATCTATCTATATCTTGTTTTTTAATAAAATCAAAGTAACCACAGTGAAGTAAAGCTCTTTCTGCAACTTCACAATTGTTTAGATCAGGATCTTGATTGATTGACCAAGAAATGTCACGAAAGTTGAAATCGCCAGTAATGACGAGATTTTCATAGCTGGAAATGCGTTCAAGTTGTTGGATGAGTAAATAGCTTCTATACTAACGTCATTTGGTCTGTAGATACATGCCATATTTACAATAAGATTTTGTTTCGATAACCGTATTTCAATGTCAGGAATGAAAATATTTTTTTACGACATAGAAGTTTTCACAAATGTCGCTATTTAAGTAAATACAGACACTACCCCCAACACGATCAAGCCTATCAGATCTGAATAGTGTATATCCATTAATATTCACGAGAGAATCAGGTATAGATGAATTTAGCCAGGTTTTACATATAAAGATTATGTCGGGTGAGTTATGCTCAACAAAACATAAAAAATTATTAAATTTAGCGTTAAGCGAATCTAAGTTGGTGTAGAAAAATCAACCGCTACGAATCTCCCTGAATATCAATTGAGGGACATTCGAAGAATAATTTACGATTTTCATATAACAGAAAAGTCTCGTGTTACTGTTAAAAGGTTAAATAATAAAATTAAAGAAGATTTAGATATTCACATATCAGAAACTTCATTAAGAAGAGTCCTTAAAAAATTACAATTTAAATGGAGAAAAACACAAAATAATCGTAAAGTTTTGATGGTAAAAATGAAAATAAGGACTTTAAGAGTAAAATATTTGAGACAGATAAAATATTTTAGAAGTCAAAATAGACCAATCGTTTATTTAGATGAAACATATATACACAGCGGACATACTTCTTCCAAGAATTGGACAGACGATTCAACAAAAGGTTTGTTTTCTGTTATTTCTAAAGGCCAAAGGCTTATTATAGTTCACGGTGGGGGAGAGAAATGGGTTTTATCAAAAATAGTTTGTTGATATTCAAAACAGGGACCAAGTCTGGAGATTATCATTCCCAAATGAATTCGGAAAATTACGGCAAATGGTTAAGAGAGAAGTTAATACCTAATCTTCCACCTAATTCAGTAATTGTTTGTGATAATGCTAGTTATCACAATGTACAGACAAATCTAGCACTTAATTTCAATTCTTTGAAGAATGATATTATCGAATGGTTGACAAAATACAACATACCTTCTAATTCAACAAGTTTGAAACCAGAGTTATATGAACTGATTAACTCTCATAAGGACCGACATATATTTTTATTACAGCCTAATTTTTTAAATAAAAAATTGGAACTAAAATTAAATTTTGTCAATTTGCAAATATCAGTTTCATATAAAGTTAACTACAATGCTTTATCAGGAGTGGTAAGTATTTAATACCATTTCATTTTAATTTCTTGATATTTTTGGCCATTTTTTGATGAAAATCCATATTATTAAAAAGAGAAAAACCAAACATGGTAGATTTTCACACTTTTATTTAAATAAATAAAAATTAAAAATTGCACGACAATTGTTTCTAAGTACAACTTCTTCTTCAAATTTGACTCATTTACATTTCTCATATATATACAAAATAAACTAATTAGTTGAAGTAGGTACTTAAGAGAAATATATTAATAAAATCCAAATTCCATCATTACCGGGATTATCTGACAAAAAACTAAGAACAGGTAAAGAGATTTAATTAAGCTCAGTTATTAATATCTAATTGATCACTTAAGAGGATAAGAGGATATTTGAATTTTTAAATCTATTTATTTCAAGTGTTTCTAAATGGTTTAATTTAATGCCTTTTATTCTCAAAATGTGAAACAATTTTTGCATAAACGATTGATTTTCAAATAAAAATATGTTTTGTAGACTTTTTGAAAGTACGGCCCGTTTGAACAATATACAATTTTACCACAATTTAATTTATTTAAATAAGGATAATTTCCTGACCATAACAGAATTTTATATAAATACCGAACGGAAAGCGGTAGAACAGCCTTAACCTAAGGTCGGCTTACTTAAAAATAATGATGTTTCTAATTAACTATAGAATTATGTACTAATAATAACACTAAGCAATATGTATGAACAAGTATCATTCGCTATTTTCCATTTATTTTATGTCTTAAAATATACGCGTCCCTGGTTTACAACTTTCTAGGTAAGCTACCAATTCTTTTCATAGGTGGGCGTGTTCGTAGTATTATAAATGCGCGTCCTTTTCAAAGCCCACCTGTATTGAAGCTGCAGGCTTATTGTAACCGAAATAGGCATTACAACTATTATTCTAGGTTGAAATAGATGGGGAAAGGCCTTAAAGGGACAATAAGTAAAGGAATATTAGAATCATTTGTCCTTGGATTAATAAGGGATATTTAAAACATTAAAACAATTGAAGACACAAGTGGATAAAGGGCCTATGTAGCAAAATAATTTTTACGAGATATGTCGTGTTAAAGTTTATTGTTTGGCAGTTATTCAGTAGTACATGGGTCCTTTATCTACTGGGAACTTCTATATTTGATGACATATTGTCATGAAAGATATTTTTAATGAATTTTAGGTACATAAGCCCTTCATTCACAGAAAAACACCATTTAAAAAAAAATGTTACATAGGCTCTTCATCCACTTGTGTCTTCAATTGTGTTTATAAATTAACTACTTTGACTTTTTATAAAAACTATATCCGGTTTTTTTAATAACAAAAACATTGTAATGTGCTATGCTGGTTTATTTTTCAATAATTTAGTGTGTGATATAGTGCTTGTTATGTTCAGAATATGCAGTTAGAAGATAATGAGATACATGTAATTACATGGTAATTCTAAATAAATTAAACTTGTTAAAAATGTGTTTTATTTTTCACCTAATTTTCTTTTCATTTAAAACAAGTGACATTTTCCATTTGTTAACATTTACATACAACAAAACTTTACTAAACTTATTGTTTGTTTAGTAATTGTAAGTAAAAGTTGTCAAATATGAAAATGTTACTTCAAATTGCTTCAAATATCTAAATTATCAAGCCTGCCAATTTTTAAATCGCATTACTTAGTAGTGTTCTACTTTATCGACTGAAACTGACAGGTGTAGTTCAACTGTAAGCGCTTAGCGCGCTACTGTCGAGGTCAAGCAAACTTGTTACCAACTATTTACATGGAATCCGACTCCCGTGAAGAAGCCCATTCATATCGTCTGTACTAAACTAGCAGCTGACGATCGTGTTATTAGATAGTGGGCTAAATGTTTAAAAATTTTATGTAATTGTTGCAATGCAACCCTGGAAAAGTGTGGAGATTTTAAAAATTTAAAAATTTGTATGAATTTTCTAAAAACGAAATTATCAAGGAACTAGATAATTTTAGATCAAAATTCACAGATATTAATAATAAGCTATCGGTAATTGACCATTTATCCTCTGCTCAATTTACCGACCAAGTAGCACATGAGGCCGTAGACAGAATGACTCGAGCAAAAAACGTTTTCATACGAGAAATTCCCGAAGTAGCTGGGGATGTAACTGTAAAGAAAGATCTCGATAAAAGCAAGATAGCAGAAGTTCTGAATACTGTCAACTGTACATCTAATCCACTCAATTTCTTTCGTATCGGAAAACCAACAGACAATCGTAAATTTCCTCGTATGATAAAAGTTGTCATGCAAAATTAATGTGAGGCTCGCAATATTCTGCGAAATAAAAGAAAACTTGAAGAAAATCCTTCTACAAACAAATTTACAATTATTAGCGATCAAACTCCCAACCAAGTTTTAAAGGATCTCCGGACAGAAATTGAGGATAGAAAACAGCTAGGAGAAACTAATCTCACCATAAAATACATCAAAGGTTTCCCAAAAATTATATCAAATTTTCGTAACTAGTTCGCCATCTCCTTCCAAATGTAATTTTTCCGGTTGTTTCCATTGACTGTTTGAGAAACACCTGTAAAAATGTTAAATTTAGTATTTTTTTACATTTATTAGGAAACAAAAATTTTTAGAAACAGAAGATAAATTTTAAAAATTTAAATATAAAATATTAATTAAAAATAAAATGCATAGATATGTATGTAAAATACAAAAAAAAATATGGAAAACTACGCAAGTTTAATTGCAAATAAACTACAGAGTATGTTTACCTGTTGCTTGTGCAGTTTAAAGTTTGATATCATCTAAAATAACTCCTTCCTTTTTTGTTGCGTCAAAATATTTAAAAACATTGTATATTACTTCACGACTTTGTCCGTTAATAACAGATCTGCGCTTTTTTTCACCTACAATAGAAGACATCAAAAATAAAACCAATCACTTTAACCAAAACACAGAGACAAGAAAGAAACAATGATCTAGTCGTTACGCTAGGACAAGGTTTTAAGTAAACGAACTTGAGCATTTGCGCTGGTTCTTTAGATTTGGCGTTCACTGTAGTCATGTTGAATGATAAGGAATTCAATACTGTATTTAAAAACTCTAATGGTACTTTTTGAGATTAGATTTATCTATAGATTATATTAAAATTTAGCACATACTGGATGAGGTTTTTATGTTTAGAAAAGAAAACGAAACTAGTCTTTAGGTCAAAAAAAGATGTCTACGAAATTTGTTTGTATCGAAGGAGTATAAAATACGTCTTTAATATTTTTATTATATCCTTAATAAATAAAGTTTTTCACTTTATTATCCACATTTATTTTGAAAGCAGTTAACTCAGATTATTAAAATACAAACAATATTAAAAGTTGTTTTATTGGTTTTCCAAATCAACAATTTATCATTATTAAGGTGTTTATAATTTCTATTAATATACTTTACATTATAACTCAACACAACATAGTTAAGATAAAACTCTTTACAGGGATATTAAACAGTGGGACTGTACCTACAGTATAGAATTTTATAAGAGTAAAAGTGATCCACAAAAATGCAGAGATACGAGTCATGTCCGTGATACCTACGCACGCTTCTCAATTAAATCCAAACTCATTAAAAAAAAAAGAAGAAATATGTAAATAAATTATACATTCCAAAATACGTTATTTTTTCTACTTTAGAAATATTTTTTTATTGATCATAATAAATTATTATTTAAAAATAATCAATAAAGTTCTGGTAGTACCATTCCTAGTTTGTGTATCCTAGTATCGTAATACAGGTACAAAAATACGCTCTAGTTAAATCCTCCTAACTGTTCGTCATAAATAAATGTTTAAAAAGTACAGGTTTAAATCTAATTAAGAAATCTTAAAATAACTTTATTGCTGGTAGATAAAATGTGTTGGTTAATTAATTAAATTATTGATAAAAATGCACATAGTTTAAATTTTTAATTATAAGCGATGTCATCTAGTCAAACTACCTGATATTTTTTCTAGTCTAGTTATACTACAGAAACGATTGCGATACTAGAAGCCTTACAATTTCTATTTGAATCTGACACTAAAGCAGCTCTAATTGCTTCAGAATTTTTACTCTGCTATCTGTAAACAGATAAGATTTTGGGCAGATTTGGAACATCTGGGGGGTATTTTATAGGGGGTCATTTTATATTTTATGGAATATATCTGGTATTTTTGTTTGGAGAAGAAAATTCTTCAAATAAAAGTTACTTCTAATATTATTCTCTTAAAAATAGAAGATGGTGACATTCATTTAAAAGAAAACCATAACTACTTTTACCAGGTGAAAAATTTCAATATGTTAAAATGATTCATGATTTTTAAGAAATGTGTTAGAAATGATACTACAATATTAATATTCTTTTTATTGATTTTCTAATACTGATTTTATATACTTTAAGATTCAAGGACAGCTAGGTATAGCTCAAAGAAAATTGTGCTACTTTGTAGTATATACTGGAGATGAAAATCCACTATTTGTTTAAAAAATTCATTTTCAACCCATTTTTTTCAAAATATGGTTGAAAAATTAGAAAAATTTTACTCGGAATATATGGCACCTGAGATAATTTTAAATAGAAGAGGCCGAGGATTAAAATGTCTGGATACCCCATATAATGAAACGTAAAGTGCAAAGATTAGCAAATTTATAAAAATAATAATTTAATGGACTTTAATATTACAAGTTCTTGAAATAATAGTTTTTTTGCGCAGAAGCATGTTCATACGTAATTTGCAATTGGTAATCACTAATCACAGATGGAAAAGTATATACGTCAACGATATGTTCTCTTATTTTTGATTTATTTTAACAGGTATAATATTTGGTATGTTACTTATAGTATGGATTTTTTTATTTCCCGACCTAATTTATTTGTTACGTCTTCAGCAATTGTCACAATTTCAGTTGACATAAACGAATTGATAAAAAGTGTTTTTCGCATTTCATTTTGACTGTTTCTCTTACTTTCGAATAGAAATTTAGCTTTGTAAACTTAAAATGACGGATATGTCAAACTAAAACTGACGGTAAAATGAAACATTGAGTATCATTAAATGCAACTTTTGAACTAGTTTCAAAAATAGCATTAAAATGATATTATCATTCACAATGTACTAATTTCCTATAATTTTAGTTGATAAATAACCAATAATCATACATCATGTAACAAATAGGCACGTGTCAAAAGGTCACCGGCGAAAAAAGAGTGCCGATAAAAAAAGGTCGCGAGCAATTGATCGCGCCAAAAAAAGGCGAGTAGGAAAATAGCGCCTAACAATTTTGTTTTGAAAATCTTTATATTGCAGGTAACCTTTTGAAGTATGTCTCTATTACCTATTTACCTATTAAAAAAAAACAATTGGTTTATTATCACTTTAGATAATTTGATACCAATAAGCTATCTATAATTACAGACGAACCCCTTTATCTGTTAATATAAGGCTTTAATATTGATATTTCTATTATTATCGTTTAATCGCAATGAAAAACATTAATTTATTTCACAATTTACTTAGGTCTAGGTAGTATATTTAATAAATAAACTATTTAAAAATCCATACAAGAATAGAAAATAAATTAGCAGACAATTACTACTTTCCAATTGTATCATATAAACAGTATCAGAGGCAGTATTATCATCTCGTATATCCCCCGTAAACACACATAATATAAACGGAAATAATCAAATACTAGTCAAAATATTATCGATCGGAGTACCATCTTTATTACATTACATGAAGTAATTTATTGATTTTCGGGGTTGATTTAGAGTTAAATTAGACGCCATTTTTGGTCCAAATTCGTTTTGACATGTTTTTACAAAGAAAGTGACTTATAAATTTCAAATCTACACGTTTTGAAAAATATACAATATTTAAATATTCTGAGTGTACCAAATTCCAAGTAAAGGTTACAATTAGGTCGTATTACATTTTTTTTTATTATTTGTTTGACATCGAGGTTAAAATAATTCTACACGGCACCTTTGAGATGAAATAAAAGGGGGTTATTTTACATGATTGGTTTTTATTGAAAATAATAAATTTATTAATTTTCAATAGTAAGGTGACCTAAGTTAGACCTTTATTTTTAATTTGGCCAAAAATTAGATTTTTAAATACTACATATTCGGAAAACTGTCGATTTAACTTTTGGTCTACACATACACTTTTAATACACAGGGATATACCCCATCCTTAATGTTTAATACAAAATTTTCCTAAAATGGTTCGTTTTCGAGAAATTTTACAAAATGTAAAAAATTCAAATTTAAAAAAATAAAAATTCTATAAGTCGCTTCATGCAGTTAAATTAACATTGTATTGTGAGCTTCCATATTTGTTTTGTTTGTGTTTGTTATGTTTAACTCAAAATAAATAATAAAAAAACTACATTCCACAATTTTATTCCCGGCTTGAGTGTCCAACACCCCTAATATAAACCACTTGCACAAATAGTCAATATTAATTATAAACTCTTGTTACACAATTCTTTTAAACCATAATCATAGTAGTTTTTTTGTCGTTTCTATGACAACCTGTAAAAATAAATCACAAAAATAAGTATACAATAGTATATTATGTACCATGGGACTAAAGCGCCACCTTCAATGGGGGGGATTAAAACGCGCTTTAGTTTACTGCAGGGAGTAAAACTAAAAAAAAACAATTAAAAAAGTAACCTGTCGGGAGTTTGAACCTGGGTCTTTTGCTTACAAGGCAGGCGTAAGTAATTGAAATTTATTATTTTGACGTTTTAAAGCAATTCTGTTTTTAATTATTATTGTACTATTAATAAATAAAAATATATGCAAAGTTTCAAACAAAATTATTTTTCGAAAAAATCGATAAATTTATTCGCTTATAAAAGAGGTCTTGTCATATTACCTCCAGAATAAAGTAGTTTGCTATGATTTCTGTTGGTTTTGTTATTTGCGGGACTACATTTTTTTAATCCCTTGGGACTAAAATATTTTAGTCCCAAGGGAGTAAAAGTGGCACTTCAGTCCCTAAAATATGGGAATAAAATGCATGTTTTAGTCCCTGAGATACAAAAATAAATTTTCAAATCACCAATCATATTTTTTTCATATTAATCGTAAATATGTTATTTTCTAGAAAACTTTCAGGACAAACAAAATTAGCGCTTTCATAAAAAATGTG